GGGGGGGGGGGGGGGGGGGGGGGGGGGGGGGGGGGGGGGGGGGGGGGGGGGGGGGGTCAGTATGTGCTTGGTGTTGAGATATCGTCGGATCTGTTGACTAGGAGTCCTTCTTGAGACGGAATGCCGTCGTCTACTCGTCCTGGAGGAGGGGGTGCCGTACAGCAGGGCCGTGTTCTGTAGACACCCCCCCAAAAGTCTTCGCTGTTGTACCTTAGCGACGACAGCGATTGCGCCCTGCGCCTCGACCTGAACGCGCGCGTGATCGGCTGATTTCATCTCTGTGCTAGTTTGTCGCTCGCTCTCCTTGACCACCACTGCTCTACTATCTCAGCCACCTTCCCCACCGACACCCCTCTCTCCCTTCCCTCCCTCTCATTCTCCCTCTTATCCCCCCCCTGTACCCACCTCGTACAGGACGCGGTGCTTGCAGAAGCGGCGGGGGTGGCTGTGCTGCACGAACTCCGGGTCGCACCGCGAAAGGTACTCCATCATCGCCTCGGGCTCGAACATGGGCCCCGGCTTAGCGTGCGCCTCGTTGTCGAGCCACTCCCCCGCCTGCACCGACGCCGCGTACTCCAGCACCTCGCTCGCGTGCGCGGACGCGGGCATCGCCGCCGCCGCCCGCCGCGCCTTCCCAGCCTCCGTGTCCTGGGGGATGGTCTCGGCGAAAAAAACGCCAGCGGCGTGCCCCCCGGCGGCGTCGGGCGGGGCTTCGTCTTGCTTCATGTACCCAAACAGGTAGACGGCGAGGTTACCGTCTCGGGAGGGGAACGCGTGGACCTTTCGGACGCGGGGGGNGGGGGGGGGGGGGGGGGGGGGGGGGGGGGGGGGGGATGGTCTCGCATTGTAAATAACGGCCATCAAGACTGCTATCAAGCGCGCCGCCTTATTGATGTATGGACGGACGGCGTACATACGTGTGTTTCGAGAATCACAATCATACAAAACCCGGAAGGTCCACCAAACAACCAAAAAGAATAAGGTGTGTAGCGCATGGCGCAGCAAGCATGGCTAAGTACCACCGAACGTCGGAACCAACCACCAGCCCACCAGCATTACTTTTTAAGCTTCTGACGCCATCGCCCACAGCGCCGCACCAAGCAGCCCCTGCAACAACACCACCACCACTTAGCCAAGACCCCGGTGCAGGCTCCCACCTGCGGAAAGGACAGAGTCGAGCGACCAACAACAACCTCACAACTTCCGCCCCTGCCCCCCATGCTGCTTACTTACACTCTGGTGTCACCAACACCGTCACCGACAACACGGACACCTCAATACCACCGACCGTGGACGCACCCGTTGAAGGCTTCCGTCCGCCCGAGGAAGGGAGTCGAGCAGCCTCAAGATGCCGTCGCTCCTGCCCTTGGTGGACTGGACGAAGGTCATCTCCTTCATATTCTCCACGTCGCGCTGGTGCCGCGGAATCGTTTCGAGTTTTGGCAAACAAAACAAAGGGGTTTGGCAAGCGACAAAAACGGCAAGCAAGGAGCACCGCGGAACACAACAAACAACCACGCGGTAGTCGTTAGTTGCCACAAGTCAGCCGTCCGTTTTCTTTTGCCGAACCCACAATATCATTGCAAATAGACGACGGTGCGTGTGTGTGCGTCTTCGTTCTACTTATCAAGGCGACCGTCCCCCCCATGTTTCGTGTTGAGACGAGTATTAGACACTTTTCGGTGTATTTTTTCGTCCAACTACAACCACCCAGGGTCACACAATGCCAATGGTGCCGGCGGTTAAAACAACTTTCAAGCGCGAACCGCGAAGAAGCTCCGACAATCCAGGCATCTCTGTACGAACCCCGGTTGCTGCCGATTTTGCATTCGCAATGGTTTCACGACGGTCACACGTTCCTTGGAAAAGGCTGCGACAGTGGTCAAAGAGGCCTTCTTGATCCGTCCAAGAAGTGGGAGGGGGGGATGAGAATATTCAGGCCTAACGCACCTGGAAGTGAAGAGTGATGTCTTTCGTGGGAGTCAATCGCTCGACGCCGTTCGCGTCCACGTGGCCGCCCTTCAGCCGGAACCGTGACGGTTACATGCGGCGTATCCGTTACACATTGAAACACGCGGGTAGTACGACGGTTGGACAGTTAGATGGGGAAACCCTGCTGTGGATGAGCTATTTAGAGCACGGGGCGCATTTTCCAGACTCTCGGCGAGAATGCGTTACGAGATTGGGGATAAACAACCTGTTTACTGTTGATTTTTTGTATCAAACAGTTCAACGCCAATTCCACTCCATCAAGTATGGTGCCATGTATAGCGTGGTCGTGCTTATTAAAACTATCGTGTTCTTCTTGCCTTTCATGTAACCAGCGTCAATTCCACTCAGAAAATGTGGTGCTACATACTATTACGAGATCGTGCTTAGAACAATCATGCCCTCGTGGAAGAGGCAGGCTGTACCTCGAGCATAGAGGATATGGCCCCCAGGTGTTGCAACCTTGACTCTTCCGTGGTTTGTCGGAAGTAGGACGCCGGCATGTTCCTCAAGAACCTCAGCAGAACCAAACGACGCAGAGAGAGAGAGAGAGAGAGAGAGAGAGAGAGTTCAGTAAACGAGATGCCCGCAAGAGAGCGAAGAACAAGAGACAAGGAGGTGGGGGTAGGGTGGCGGCGAGGACAGGGAGGATGGAAGTAGAGGGTGCAGATAACCCTCACTCGGTACGGACCGCCTTCCTGCACGAGAAATCAAGTTCATGAGGAAAGAGAAAAGGAAGGGGGTACGCAGACCCTATCCCCTCACCCTTACCCACCATTCCCAATTGCATGCTTTGTCCAACATGTTTTCTTCAGACCCTGCCAAGGCTACTGCTACGTACGCACGTTCGTGTAAACACACACAAATAGCTTGAAAAAACAGTTTTATTTATTATTGTTTTCGCCTCACTGGCACTGACATCTGTTGATCGGCCAGTGCGATCGATGCTGATAAGCAAACACACAGACAGCCAGGCAGGCGGGCACACGGAACCCAACTCACCAGTCGACCGCCCCCTCGTGGGTGCGCTGCTGCTCCTGCCAGAGCTCGTGCAGCAGAGATTGCCTCGCCATCTTCTCCAGCTTGAGCTCGTTGCGCGGCATATGCGCCCACGAAGACGTCGCGGGAGACGACGAGAACTGAAACGCCGTGCCCTGAAGGAGCATCGCGGCCCCCCCGCCGCCGCCGCCGCCGCCGCCGCTGGCCGCGCCTTGCCCAACGTTGAAGGTGGTGCCGTGGCTGATGGCGTGCGCTGAGGAAGAGGCGTTCTTGTTGCCGCGCGAGGGCGATAGACCGCCCCGTTGCTTCTTCGAGTCGTAGTCGACTTTGAGGTTCAAGCAGGACGCTCCCTGCTGCGGGATCAAGGACGGATGGTCAGACGGTTGTGACGGGTTGATGATCAGAGGATTGTGAACGGAACGGGGTTAAGCCTTCCTTCCTGTCTGGCAACGAGAGCAGAGGCGCATTAACCGGGGGGACAGTGTGGACATGGCCTTCTAAAAAGGAAGACATCTCCTCAGATTCTGTCGAGAACGATAATCACCTATTCACACAACAAGCTTTCAAGAACATATCCGCGACTCCCGCTTCAATATCACAGTGTTGAACATGAACGAGTCAAGTCCGTAAACGCTTGAGTGTGCTGCTTACTTCGGGGTACGACTTGAACACGTCCCTTGGGTTGCGCTATCACCTTGAACGGGTAGTTTCTCAGTGATTTAAGTGTATTTTAGAAACCATTTATCATGAGGAGTGGTGGGTGGCCGTTCATTAATGGGTGGCGTTTGACGGAAGCCCGGTGCATATTCCCATGGTCGGCAGTCTCTGTTTCGCTCCTTGATGCTGCACGAAGCAGCTGGCTTAGGAAAGGGCGTGTGTGGAGTAGGGACTGCACCAGCCGCGCTGGATGTCACTGCTTCCACGGACGAGGTTGCCGCACACGAGGAGGTGGTGACCGAACTAAACGAAAATAATGGAAACGAGTTACGCCGCATCTGCATCACTTGGCGACGAAAGGTGGTCCCAGCCAAGAAAAAGCACACCATTCTCACGTCGCCCGCGGCAAACACTACGGCTCATTCAAGTACTACACCAATGTCTTCTCCCGAGTGCTCCTCGCAACAGTAGAAGTACGTTCCTTGCCCTCTCTGTCCCAAAGCTGGAGAATGTCTTGCAGCCTATGTGTGGGTGCATTCCTACCTCTTGGCGCGCTCCACTCCTTACCCCGCGCACGGCGCAACAGTAGAGTACTTTCGTCGATCCCGCTATCCCAGAGTTAGGAGATGTCTTGCAGGCTGGGTATGCGCATTTCTTGCCGTTGACGTCTATAGCACGAAGTGCACCCACACACAGGCTGCAAGACGTTCCCTACCTTTGCGACAGAGGGAACGACGAAAGAATGCTGAAAAACAAACCCAGGGACATCGTAGCCCGTGCATTCCTCTGAAGCGAAAGTGGTGGACGTCAAGAGCAATGAATGCATCCACGCACAGGCACCAAGACGTTCCCTAGCTTTGCGACAGAGGGAACGACGAAAGAATACTGAAAAGAAACTCCATCGACAACCTAATCCGTGCATGCCTGTTCAAGTGAACATTACCGCACGCCAGACGGGTGGCCGAGACGAAGGATGCGTTGTACGGCGGAGGCAACGTAAATCAATAGAAGTAGTGTTTTGAGCCGTAAGGTCGCTGGTAGAGGATGGACTCGTGGACGCAAAAACACGTTGAGACGGGAGCTGCAACAGGTGGACATTCTCACGAAGAGCTTGGGTGCGGTCAAAAGGTTTCTGAAACACAGTCTCTTTCTGCTAGAAGTGTAGACAGGTTCCCTTTTCAAATTCAGACGTTACGCCTGAAGGATGGGACGTTGTGCTAAAATGGAACATCTGTGTTGATGGAAAATTCTGGAGATTTGTCTTGTAGAAACTTCTTGCTGTTGGCAGTAGATACTGATTGTCATTGCCTTGGTTTGAGATGAGCACGCTTTCGAATAGCACGGTTTCTAGATACTTCACCGATATTATGAAGAAAAAGATAAGCGAACACAGAGATTGGGTCTTACGTATCGGAACTAGAATGGTGCATTTTTTTACAGGACATGTTGGGACGCTTGCAGTACGTACAGTACACCTTGCTTGGCACTTACTGCATGGGTTTGATGCGGTAAATATGAACGCGTATTGCCAAGTCTGTAAGCGTGAGGAAGGTCTCTTGACGTCTGTGTGAAGAAAAACCAGTCTGTGTTTACCCTATTATCATGCCTAAACCCCAGTTCGATTATCGCCTCGGTGACATCTCGCGGTGTGGTTGGGAGTGCGTATGGCGGCATCGCGCATCACATATTGAAGCACTGCTGTGCATCCTGCAGTACCATGACATGTTGGGTATCACACGTACAGCAGTATCTTGGTTTTCGCACGGGGTGTGCGTCGAAAACACTCAATATTAATGCTGCTGTAGGGTTTATAGATTTACCTCAGTAGATCACGTATGGGGGATGGGGGGGGTGTACTCATAGTCGTGCATGCCGTAGTCGTTAGACCATTGACCTCGCATCCCTACAAAGCCGGGACGGAGCACGCCGGGTTCTCACCGGACCAGGCTCTCACATCACCAAGCGCGAAGCGCCGTGAGATATTCGGCGAGTCGCATGAAGGGTGCGCTGCATCCTGCTAAGGGTGTTCGGCATCTTGTGCTTACTTCCTTGCGTACGGATGACAGCTGCGTATGAATTAATTTATTTTCTGGTGCTTTCACTTCCAGAGACAGTTGTAAGCACTGTGTAACTGCCTCGAGGGTGCTTGACCATTTTAACACAACGTGGTGTGATCATCCCCCTTGCGCGGAGAGCGGGTTCTCCACCCCGCACAACATGATCTACTCGACCACCATTATGGTTACCGCCAAAAAAAAAAACGGAGGTAAAAAAAAAAAACGGTAACGTGGTTGCCGAGTTCACGAAGTGAATTAATTGGCTTGTTTTACAACGTTTTTGCCAAGCGACGAAAACCCAATCCCGACGGCAAACGCCGGAGGGGGGCGGCTTGTTTTACAACGTCGTTGCCAAGCCACGAAAACCCAACCCCGATGGCAAACACCGGGGGGGGGGAATGGGGGGCGGGGATACATGTACATGGTCGAAATGGTAGAATTCAACTATCGCACGGGGTCGGTGATATCGCACGTACCGGTGATACACTGCGTAGTCCCCTTCAACCAACAACTAAAGAACACCCAGTGGCAAAAGAAAGCGCACACAATTATATATTTTGCTGCCGTCCTTCAGCTCGTAAACCGAGCTCCGTGACGAGCCGTTAGCTCCAACAATCTGAAGGCACCCTCACAACCTCTAGGTATCGCACCCCTCGGCGATACCGTAAAAAGTCAAGAACGGAATCATTAAATTCGACCTCACCCCTGTGCGTTCTCTCAGATCCGTACGGTATGATTCAATTTCCACGATACTTCGAACGGATGTGGTGCTATGGTAGTGCTACAGCAGTTCTAACCGACGTCGAAAGCAATGCACCAACACCAGCGGCTACACTAGCCGCGATCTGGCGGGCGGGCGCATATATGATTTCCGGAGAACTCGGAGCCTCTACCCCCTTGGCTCTCTCGGATCTTGACCAGAAGAGAGAAGAGAGGGGCGCGCTGCTAGCTGGAATAGGCGCAATACGAACTGATCACTCCGCGCTTCCAGAAACTGCTGTTCAGTGCCGGCTGGGGATCATGTGTCTTGAACAGAGCTGAACATATACACCAGGCAGCATAGGGCTGCTCAAACTAGAACTGTTTTCTCCAAGCGCTCGCGAGCATTTAACGTGTGACACGACACGCTCTCCCGTCTGGGCATGGGGGCGCTACGAGTGACGGCAACCCATTTTGACAACGGTGGCTGCTGCTGTGTGATCGATGAGATCTTCGGCGCAATGGATGCACCGCAGCAGTAGTAGTGGTGGATAGGTTCCGGTAATATGATAAGCTAGTCTACCGCCTGATGACGACGTCGCCTCTTCATGCCTGCTTGCCTCGCAGACTCACCTCTCGCGGAGTACTTTCCACTGAAGAACCTGCCTCGGGCTTGTCGCTGTTGTGCTGGTCCAATGGAGTTCTGCCGCCATCCGTAGCGGAGCTCGCGAGTGCTCGCAGGCGAGGCAATCTGGCCGACTGCCCGAGAGCGACAGCTCGAGCGCTCACGAACTGGCGCAGCATGGTATCAGTGCTCGCCTCCTGAAGGCAACACCCAAACCGCAGGGCCTGGAAAGGTGGGAGAGCCTGCGCGTGAGCACGTGTGCGCACAGCCAAGCAACACGCGGACGCCGGTGATCTGCCTGGGCTGCGACGAAACGGGGAGACAAGTGGCTGAGGCGGCGTTGTACCTCAACTTTGAAACCGAGCCGACACGCTGTGTCACGGGCTGGGTCGGCGGGTGGGCAGGGTATCGGGTGGGGCTGACGGACAATGCCGCTGCTGCGGTGCTGCTGTGGACGTCTCCGATT